AAATACAGGAATTAAGACTTTTCCTCCTCTATCAATAACTTCTTAGACATGCATCAAGAAATTTCTTTCTCTTGTTCTTTTGCTATCTCTGATAATTGTAGCATAAGTGCTTTCTGAAATAACTAAATCTGGTTATAATTGATCAATGTAGGCTCCACCTAGATGTCTATCAGCAATAGAATTGTAATCTCCTGTATATACAACTGAGACATTTTTATATTTCACATGAAACATACAAGCCCCCAATAGATGACCAGCATAATAGGCAGTCACTTCAACTCCATCAAAATTTTAGGTTTCATAAAGCCCAATCACTTACACTTTATTTACACATGATTTAATATTTTCATGATCATAAATTAATAATGGATCAGTTTTAATTTATGGATTGATACTAAAATCCTATTAAGATTGCTATTAGAATTGTTAATCCTCTTTTGGCATTGTCCAAATCTATACATATATAGATAATAGATTACTCTTCTATAATCTTCTAACATATATGGTAACAATGCTTTAGTTGGCATAGACATTACTACAGGTCCATTATAGCCATTACCTAAATATATATATAATAATCAAACCATATAATTCTGTGAAATATGGCAATGCACCACAATGATCAAGATGAAAATGTGTGATTAAAACCAAATCAACATATTTACGTCCCAATTTCTCCTCAATTAACTAAATAAATCAATTTTTTCATACTGAAAAATCTGGAAATCTACGATTGTCTTAATGTGTCATGTGTAAACCACAATCCAACATAATCGTTTTATCATAAATTGTTAACATTATACAACTACGACCAACTTCTTAACCAGACCCTAAGGGATATACTTTAAACATAAATATTTATTTAATAACAACTTATTCATAATGGAGTATTAATCTAACATAATTATTTCATAGCTAAGCAGGATATAATCATTCTCAAATACAAACACTACTTCATTAATCATCAAATTTAATTAGACCCCCTAAAGTAGGTCAATATAATACTTAAGGATTCATTGGTTAATCTGAAATGCTCCTATCTAAGTATTATTACTCTCTATAAAATAGTCCTTAACAAAAATAAACATTAATCTAACAATATTCATCTTCCAATATAGGAATAGCGTATAACATATATATTAATTGGAAGTCCTTTTTCTGCTAGATAAATTGCTACTACACCTGTTGTTTCCTAAAGCATTACATAATCACAACCTCTTCTAATCACTCCATCTGTTAGAATTGCATCTACTTAACCAAATAATGCTGAGGTTCATCATTAAGAAAGACCTTTATAAGTTGTTACATTAGATGATATGGATTCAAGATGGAAAACCAAATGCAGTATTCTAATTATATAATATTAAGTGTAATTGGAAGTTTATTTGTTTGATCTTCAATAAGAAAATCTTAGACTAAGAGGTAATGCTCCATAAATTTCTTATGTTTAAGATGATTCTAAAGTATTTGTACTATAATATTCTAGATTAATGAACTTATTAATACAAACAAAGAATTAAAAATTTAAGAATAAGGTCTTAGATAATCTAATAAATAATTATAAGATGAATTAGACTAATGGAAATTAAGATATAAATAATTATAAGAGTCTAATTCTAAAAATTAAGGAGCAGATGATGAAATTAAATTACTTAAAAAGAAAATTAGTAATTATTTATTATAATTTTTAAGGCAGTTTAACAGATGATCTCAAAAGTTCCCAAGAATAAAATCAATTCAAAGATTAAGAAATTCGTAAACTTAAATTATTGATGAATGATAAAGACAATGAACTTGAATCATTAGACTAAAGAATAAGAGAATTAGAACTTTAATTGGAGAGTTTCTCATAATCTGAATAATAAATTATTTCTCTTTAAGGAGAAGTAGAATTATGGAAGAAGAAATTCAAATAACAAAATGAAATCAACTCTGATATTTCTGAAAAACTTACTATGGCTGAAACATAATTAGAAGCATTAAAAAAGAGCAAAGTTACAGTAACTAAAGAAAGTGAAATCAAAAGAACTGGACCATCAGGTACTGGAGTCACTACCTAATTTGAAACAAGTACCATTAAAGGAGCTACTATTGGTCCTGGAGGATATAGTACATATGGAAGTAACAACAGTGGGAGAAATTCAGTTGTTAGAAATTCAGGTTATAATGAAAGAAAATAATTATGATGATGTATTTTTGACATTTATCTAATGCAATTTTATATTGTATTAATCATATTCTGAAAATTTAAATAATTTATTTAAAATCTTTTAATCATGGGAGTAGGTAAACCCAGAGGTATGAGAGCAGGAAGAAAGCTCAAAGATCACAGAAGAGTTAATAGATGGGCTGATAAAGAATATAATAAGGCTATGATTGGATCAAGATATAAGAATCCATTTATGGGTGCATCACATGCTAAAGGTTTAGTTGTTGAAAAAATTGGAGTGTAAATCTAATTTTATAAACTCTATTTAGTGAATCCAAATAACCAAACTCTGCTGTCAGAAAGTGTGTTAGAGTATTATTAAAAAAGAATGGCAAAAAAATTTCAGCATTCGTTCCCAAGGATGGTTGCTTAAACTTTTTAAATGAAAATGATGAAGTCACAGTAGCTGGATTCGGAAGAAAGGGACATGCAGTCGGTGATATTCCAGGGGTCAGATTTAAGATTATTGCAGTTAAAGGAAAGTCACTTTTGGCTTTATGGCTTGGAAAAGTAGAAAAATGAGCAAACTATTAGCTATTTTTCAGTATATTAAGAATAGATAATTATTTGCGTTTATTTAAATCGATTAATTAATCGTTTAAATCATTCCTATGATTCTCTTTACAAATGGAAATAATATTAATATACATATTCGAAAGAATAAATTAATTATGAAAGAGGAAATCATGCCTTCTTGTCAAAGTTAAAGCTCTGATTTATATTAGCTTTGGCACTACCATTTGATTTTTTTGTCTTTGATCCTCCACTGCTATAATCCCTTGATCCTTTTCTACTATTCATCTTTAGCCATAATTAATATGGCATTGATTATGGTTTGGTACTTGCAGGCATAGAGAGATCCTAAACATAATAAAATCATATTCTTACTCCTTCTATATGCAAAGATCTTTTTTTATTATCAATATTTGTGGCATCTACTAAATTTATTGGTTTATTTTCTTTCTTTTTTTCCAATAGAGAATTGTTATTATTATTATCAAAATTTGTATATGAAGCTTTTTGATTTTTAGTAGTTTTACTAGTATAAGGCATTTTTTATTAAGAATTTCCTCTTACTGCTGTTGGAGTAGTAGTTTTTGTTGATGATTCTAAAATAATATAATTTTATACTTAAATATTATAGCAATTTATTTTAATGGCCAGGTGACACAGTTGAGGCATTAGAAGATCTCTTACTTGTATTTATGTAAGTAGTTTTATTCAAAGCATCATTTATTTAAATATCAGTTGGCATTTTCTTATTGTTATTCTATTGGAAAGATTAAGATTTATTTCTTTCAAATTAAAAGGATTGATCCTTTTTTAATATTAGATTAAAGTGATTACTTCAATTGATAAAGAAGAATTCTAATAATTTTTGGATCCATTATAAATAGATCTGATATCTTCTACTTAAGGTACAGACATTCCTCTCCCTTATGTATGTGATTTTTAATTAGTTTAACAAGAACCCGATCTGTTATGTTTGAGTGTTTTCATCAATTAACTATCTAATAAATTACTTATAGGAGCTAATCAAATAGAAAATATGTAATACGTTTTGAAGGTCTTGTAGCAGGTTCTAGTAATTTTTCATTAAAATTTTATGAATTAATATCAGCTGTTGATTGACCTCCTTTGATTAAATGTTTTTTTAAAAGGAGAAAATATGCTGTAGTTAAATTATTGTGTTTATTAGCATCAAGACATTTCTTAATATAATCAGCACTATATCCTTTTTGAGCAAGTTGATTAACAATATCTTCATCAATGGGAATTCGACTATATCCGATAATAATCCCTTAAGGAATTGAATTAACTCTCTTATATAACTTAAACCATGGATGAGATTTAATTTAATCAATATCAAATCTCTTTTTTGGATCAGTATTCAATAATCCTTTAATAAAAGATTAACCATCTTATGAAACATGTGATGGTATTGTATATTATCCATTGAGTATCTTCTTATATAATTCACTTGTATGTTTATCTTCAAATGGTAATTGACCACAAATAGTGGCATATAAAATAACTCCACATGACCAGATATCAACTAAGATACTTTGATATCTATGACCAGCAATCATTTCTGGTGCAGCATAACAAGGACTTCCACATGCTGTTTTAAGTAATTCACCTTCTTTATAAGTATTGGATAGTCCGAAATCTACAATTTTAATTTGGTTTTAATTATCTAATAAGAGATTTTCAGGTTTTAAATCTCTATGGACGATGTTTAGTTTATGAATATACTCAATGCCTGAGATAAGTTCTTAGAATATTCGACAAGCTTCAACTTCTTCTAGTCTTTAATTAAATTCAAAGTGTATTACTTTTCATTTTTTACAATGTAATCAAAAAGTTCTCCATTATCACAAAATTCCATCACTAAAAATATATGCCTTTTAGTTTCTATAATCTATCATATGTTAGGCTTAAATTTACCTCATAGAGTTAGATAACATGTCTATGACGAATCAATTTTAAAATATGTATTTCCCTTGACACTCTTTCTACATCTGCCACTTCTACAATACGCTCTTTCTCCAATATTTTAATGGCTACTTTCTCTCCTGTAATTTAATGCACTCCCAATTTAACTAGACCAAAAGTACCCACTCCAAGAGTTTTAACTCAAATAGTAAAAACTTCAAACCTAATAAGTAATCTCCTATCACTCTTTGTTTTTATGAATCTTTTTCTTTATAAGATGTATTTTCCTTATCAGAGTCCTTCTTTTGCAGCATAATTTCAATATCGTTAAATTATTAATATTCATAAGTAATATATGTTCCAATTTATCAAAGACTCATTTGAATAAGTGGCTTCTAAAGTTAAATAATGTGGAGCTCCTTCCAATTCAATTAAAGTCAACTTAAGTCAATTTGAAGATCATAAGTCATCCTTTTAAACTGTCATATATTAGAAGTATTTGAAACAAAAGTTAATAAATTGAATTAAGTAAGAAATCAAAAGATTATCAAAAAAATAGTTTGTTGGCAAAAAAGTGTTAGTCATAGATTAATTTATCGCAGATATGCTTAATTTGGTTATTGAATCAATGTAGATTTTGAAAGAAAATGGTGTTGATTAAATTTATTATATTGATTCTGATTAATTAGATGTAGAAACTAATTAGATTATATTTTTTGTTAATCCTGATAGATAATATATGAAAAGAATAGTAAGAATAATCAGGAATAATTAACTTGCAAATTTTAATAAAAAATATCTACTAATCTTTTGTCCTCGATTAAATATTGTATGCAAAGATTATTTAGAAAAAGAAGCAGTATTAGGGGATCTAATCATATCTAATTTTAATTTTGATTTAATACCCTTAGCAAATGATTAGCTATCATTAGAAATGAATAATTGTCTTAGACCATTATATATTGGATAAGATATGTCAATTTTATAAACTGTAGCTGAATCTATATAAAGAATGGAACTAGTGCATGGCAAATTTAAGAATATATATGCTTAAGGAAATTTCTCAAAATTTGTCATTGATATATTAAAATAAAAAAAACAATAAGGTGAATTGATTGAGGATGAACTTAGTTTTAAGGAATCTAAAATGCATGCACTTTTGATCATTGACGGAAAGATAGACTTTATCACTCCTATGCTTACTCCATTTACATATGAGGCTTTGATTAATGAAGAGTTTTCTATTAAAATAAAATTCCATTAATATAGATATTATTAAAAATAAAACTGCTTTAAAAGATAGACAAAACTTAATGATTCTTATTACAATAAAATCAAAATTATGAATATTAAGTAATGTCAAAGGATTCTTGAAGATAAGAGACAAAATAACAAATAGATGATTTAATCTATGAAATAATAAGATAATAAAATGAATATGAGTGATATGAATTAATATCTTACTAAATTAAAATTACTACCAAAAGAACAAAATATTATTCTTCACCTTAATAATTTACACTATTACAGATCTTTTTATAAGTTAACATTTAAGTAAATAGTTAGAATCCATTTTATTTAATATGTGCGTTAATTAAGTAGTTCATGCAATACTTTAAACTAAGTAATTATAAGTTGAATAAATGATTGAAAATCTTACTTCTTTTGGTGCCCCTATGACTAAAGTTATTTGATTGTTAAGTCTTTACAATTAAATCTAGAATGGCATGAAAACAAAACTCTTTGATTTTTATAGAAGATAAATTTTACATATTTAAGGCACATTCTGCACTCGAAAATTGTGAAAAAATTGGTTTAATTGGAAAAAAATTAATGATACTCATATTTGGGAAAAAATTGAAAAACCTTTGCGTCTGATTAATGAAGATATTGATCACGATGCTCCAGAGAATTTTTCTTATGTTTTTATGGCATATGCACCTATAATGTAATTTTTTACTTACTAATGAGAGTTCGAATTTTCGAAGAACTACTCTTAAAAAATACTTGGGAACCATTAGTTTTACAAGCTTTAAAAGAAATACCTGGTGAAACTGTTATGCAATAAATTTAAATTAAATTAAAGGTGAAGAAGTTAAAGATGATATAAATTAAATTTATGTGATTTACATTGTTGGAGATATCACATATGGAGAAATTGCAGCAATTCGTTGGCTAGGATTACGATTCAGTAATTAAATCTCTTATTTCTTAGAAAAGGATATACAAATATGTACAACAAATATTATAAATGGAGATAGATTAGCGTAAGAGATGATATAAAATTAATGAGTTAATTAATTAATTACTGTAGTGTTATTATTTTTTAATAATTTGTAAATAATTATTAAACTCTAAAAATTACAGATTATCATAACTATATCTAATTAATTATTAATTAATATTAAAGCTTAATTACTAAAATAAAAGTATTTTTAATCATTATATAACCTAATTTCAATTGAATTAAATTTTAATAGAAATTTAACAAATCTTTAAATATTAGGATAAATTTCTTTAATTTTTAATAATTGCATATAATTTATTTGCTTTTAAATTAATAATTAATTTTTTTTATTCTTTGAATGAAATTTTTCTTAAAACGGACAACTTTTCTGCTCACTTATGTACTAATGATGTCAGTTTATGGTTCAAAAGAACTAATTCAAGAAAACAACATTATCAAATCAAAACTATTTTGCGAAATTTTGAATGGGATAGATGAATTTATATAAATAATAAAATTGGAGAATGACATGTTTGGTATTAAAACATCAGACTCTACCTTTTAAATTTCATTCAATTCAACTAATTAAATATAAAATTACAAAGACTTGTTTATAATTTAAACTCAAAAAGAATTCGATGTAAAATGAAAATTATACTTTAGATTAATGTGTATTTTAAATTTGCTAATTATTATATAAAGAGCAATTATATTGATGGACTTTTATATAAACAAGTCAAATTTATTATAGATGATGAAAACCAAATTTATTTTAATATAATTACGTTTTCTCAAACTTAATTCAAAGAATTCACTATAAAGGATTCTGATAAAATTAGTTTAAAATAAAAATCTGATAATCCTGAATCAATTTTTCTATAAATGATATTTTTCACTCAATAAAACGTAGAATCATAAATAAATAATATTATTCCAAATTTCAATTAATTGAATAGAATTTGTGAAATTAATAAAAATAGAACTGATTTATAGATACAACAATTTATCTAATAAATGGATATTCTCTAAATTAATCCAAAAAACATTTTAAAAGGTAAAATTGTTAATAATTTTAGCCTAGTTTTCCAAGAATAAGTTCCTTTAAGATTTTAACTTCTTAAATAATATATTTTATACTGTTGTTTTAAGCGAGTATGAAATTCTTTAAAAAATACAAACTAATTCCTGTGATGTAATTATGCAAAATGAAATTATAATCAACAATTCCACTTTTTTATGGCACCAGGAATTTTGTAACAATTCGCAAAGTTACATTTATATTATTCAAACTCAAAAATGTACAATTTCTAATTAAATCTAAGTTAGGTTAAGACATTAGAAAATGGCAAAATTATATTTTCTCTATTGAATCCAAGAAATAATATCAACCTGAAATACTTATTCAACAATTTACAGTTATGATTTAAAAATCAAATTATAAATCCTTAGAGAAGTTCAAAAAGTTATTATAAATCAATGGTATTCTTTTATAATAAGATTCAATTGAATCGGAATCCACTTATTCTAAATATTAAGCTTCTATAAACACTAATCAAATATCCGAAGATGAAGATTTGATCATAAAACCAATTTAAAATTTTAACATTAAAGATAGTACCGAAGATGGATCTAATTAAATTCCAACATTTTAATTATATCATAATTTAGATTAAAAACCTATATATAAAACATTAAATGGAGTTTATATTCCTTAAGATCCTGAAATTTTTCTAAGAAGTCAAGATGAATAAAATTCAAAGGAAATAGTTAACGATTAATATGAAGAAACATTAAATTAATAGAATGATTAAAAGAAAGATCAATAATAAAGTTTATTGTAAAGAGAAGATGAAAATTAGTAGAATATTGATTTTATTGTTTATGAAGATCCAATTAGTTGGATAAATTAAGATAGTTAAGATGTAGAAGTCTTTTAATTTAATGAGGATTAGTAAAATATTAGCAGTAAAACATAAATCTAAAGCAACTAAAATAATGATTAAACTCAATCAATTTTATAAAGCAATAATAGTAATAATTAAGAAAAATCAAATTAAATACTATAACTACAAGATACTTCTAAATTAAACTTAAATAATTAACAAGATGGTATGATCATTGAATAATAGGTAAAGGTTGAAGAGATTATTTTGGACTATTAAGATAATTCACAGACCAAAAACATTTAAAATGATTAAAGTCAATATTAATAAAATACTTAAAGTATGAATAGCCAATAATAACAATAATAATAATAATAACAACAATAATAACAATAATAATAGTAATAATAACAATAATAATATTAATAATAATAACAATAATAACAATAATAATATTAATAATAATAACAATAATAACAATAATAAGAATTATATTAATAATAATAACAATAATATTAATAATAATAACAATAATAAGAGTAATATTAATAATAATAACAATAATAAGAGTAATAATAATAATAATAACAGTAGTAATAATAATAATAATAATAATAATAATAATAATAATAATAAGAATAATAATAATAATAATAATAATAATAATAATAATAATAATAATAATAATAATAATAAGAATAATAATAATAATAATAATAATAATAATAATAATAATAATAATAATAATAATAATAATAATAATAATAATAATAATAATAATCATAATAATAATAGTAATAATAATAATAATAATAATAAGAGTAATTTTCACCTTAAAATAATCAATAAGATACTAATCTACATTAAGAATCTAAAGTACAAGAGGATATAAAGGATGAAAATTAATTTTATTAAAGTCATAAAAAATAATTTGAATAACCTGATGATTATTATGACTATGATTATTATACATCATTGTATAGTGATTACGATAATGATTATGATTATCATCCCAGAAGATATTTAAGTCATCATCATAGAGCACCTTAAATAAAACATTTTCATCACCATAATCATTAGATATCTAGAGATGAGAGGGAATACGATGATATAAATAAAAATTTAAATGTTTAGGGCTATTCAAATTAGAAATTTAATTTAAGAGGAAAAAAAAGAAATTAGCAAAGCGATAATACTATCCCAATTATTGCAGAAAGAATCATAATTGAATATAATTTTGTCAATGCAAAAGAAGAAGAAATAAAACTTAATGGAGATGAGGAGGAAGATAAATCTTAAAACGAAAGAGAAGAAGAAGATCAAAAAAAAGATAAGCCTAATTAAGATAAAAAATAAAAAACTAATAAAAGTAAAAGTACTTAAGAAGTAGAAGATGAACCCAAAGAATAACAATAAGATGAGGATAAGGAAGAAAAGGATAAATAAAAAAAGAATAAGTCATAAAATAATGTTTAGAGTAACTCATAAAATAAAAGTTAAGAAAAAAATAAGGTGGATCCAAAAGGCAAGTCTTAAGACAAATCTTAACCAAAGTCTTAAGACAAAACTTAACCAAAGGCTTAAGACAAAACTTAACCTAAGGCTTAAGACAAAGCCTAACCTAAGGCTTAAGACAAAACTTAACCAAAAGCTTAAGATAAGGAGAAAGAGAAGGAAAAGGAGAAATAAAAAAATAAAGAATAACCTAAAGCTAATGCTAATAAACCAAAGCCAAAAAATGATTAAGAAGGTGAAGATAAAGAGTAAGAGAAAGAATAAGAATAAGAGTAGGAATAAGAGTAAGAGTAGGAATAAGAGTAAGAGTAGGAATAAGAATAAGAATAAGAGTAGGAATAGGAATAAGAGTAAGAATAAGAGTAGGAATAGGAATAAGAGTAAGAAAATGAAGATGAAAAAGAACAAGATTAGGAATAAGAAAATGAAGATGAAAAAGAAAACGAAGACGAGAAAGGAGAAGAGATGGATGAAGATGATTAATGGAGAGGGTTCAGTTCAAAAGATAAGAAAAAAAAAAAAGGTAAAAGTAAAGGAAATGGAAGTAAAGAGGATGAAGAGGAAGATGAAGAAGATTTGTATGATGGAGATGGAAGATACATAAAAAATCATCCGTATTATCACCATAGAAAGAATAAAAAATCGCATTACCCTTATAATTATCCAGGCAGATATCCTGGGGATGAAGTATTTGATGAGGATTTAATTTGGAGATATCGATGCATGAATAAACAAAACAGAAATTAAAATTTTGGAAATCCCTTTAATGGATATCTTAATAGGCATCGTTAAGTTGTCAATAAAAGCCCATTTTATAATGGTAATCCATATTTAAGACTTAACCCATATACTAAATAGAGTTCGAGTTCAAGTTGTGTTCCTTGGATGGTTCGATAAAATTATCCTCCAAATTCAGGGTATGGGAGATACTCAAATTTATATAGAGGAAAATATTAGGATCCAGATTATGAATTAAGAGAAGTGTGGCTTAGATAGCAATAGTAATAGCATTCAAAGCAATAAGTTTAGAGATATAGAGATTAAGTTGGTTATTTTAATTGCTATGGTTATGACGACATGAGACCAAATTATTATGATGCTATTTACGGAATAAATGAAGATGATCCTCGTTATTAAATATATAATAGGAATATTTATGATCCAAATTTTTTTAGTCCTTTCGATGAAACAGTTCATAATGGTCACAATTATGTAAGGGAAAAGCATTTTAATGCTAAATAGGTGTCAAAACCATTGAATCATAGGATGGTTTAAAAGAATGTTGATTTTGAATAGCAAGAGAATAATAGTTGCTTATAAGTGTTTGACTAGTGCTATTTTAAAGGAAGAAGTGTTAATTTATGTGGAGAATACCCAGTAATACCAAAGGATTTAAATAGATTCAAAATATTTTCCTATATTGTGCCTGAAAACCTTGAGATTAGATTTACATAATCAGATTAGAATGATGGTAAAATCTATTTTATATATATAGATAATGTATCAGATATTTCTGGTTCTGTAGAATGCTTGCAAACACCTTATGAATTGATACCATAATTATAAGGATGAATATAATATCAATGAAAATATAAAATAACTTATTTTTACAATTATATTATAGGATTTAGATTATAACTCAGAATATATAATATTATAAAATAAAATAAAATTTTAATTTTATATAAGGACTTTTTACAAAACTACCCACAGGAATATCTAGTGCTTAATTTTTTAGTATTTTGAAGGATATAAATGAGAGGAAGAATTTTAAGAAATCTTTAATAATAGAAGAAAACATTTATTTTATTAGATGCTTTTATTAACATTGAATTTAATGAAAGTAATGTTCCAGAATGAACTATTATTTAATAACCAATTATTAATATGAAAAAATTAATTCATTGCTCTATCTGTATTACTTTTATAATAGAATTAGTATAAAGTATAATTAGATAGTTTATAACATAAATATCTATAAATTATAATAATGATTTAAAATTCTATTAAGAAAAATGAAGATGAATATCTAAAGTTTTGTTTAGATTGTTATTATACAAAAGAAGAGGAGTTTGATATAGGGTAAATTGGAATATCATTCAAATAGAGTAAAACCAAAAAGTAAAAGGTTTTCTTCATCTCTGGAAAAATAAAAGTATATAGAGGAATATACAAAAAAGAAAAAGACAGAATTATGTAAGAACTTTATGCTTAAAGGATCTTGCAAATTTGACACAGAAGTATTATATAAAACTATTGATCAAGTGTTCATATGCTCATGGATATGCTGAACTTTTACCTAAGGCACATACTCATTAAAACTACAAGACAAAACTATGTAAAAACTTTATAAATAACGGTTGGTGCAATTATGGACAGAGATGTTAATATATACATCCAGAAAATTCATTAAATAAAATTAAGACTCATAAATTAAAATCTTTAGATAAATAAGTATCATAACAAAAAATGAATGTAAACAATTAGAATTTAGCAGAATAAATTATTATTTTGTATTCAGATTTATTATAGAAACTTAACTTTAGTCCATAATTTAGTATCTCAAATTTACCTAGATTAAGTTATTTTAAACGATTAGGAGAGCATAAAATTTGATTTTAGTAGGATGATTTTGATCATTGAAAAAAAATATTTATTATATTCTATTTAAATTTAATAATAATAAAAAAGATTGATAAAAAGAATGAAATTTTCACACAAATTTTCTAGGAGAAGATGCCAACTAAGCGTAGTAAAATTTTTAGCTGATATCATGATTACTTAACTTTTTTTTATGATAAGTTTCTAGGATTGGTTTTTCATGCTTATTTAACTCATATATAAAATCATTTAAATCTTAATATAGTAGAAATTACAATTTTGTATATTGAGTATTTATATTCTATTAAGAAGGAGTTTAAATTAAATTTTAATATCTATTCTTAAACTTTATCTTATTCTATGGTCCTAATTAACTAATCAAATACTAAGCCATAGGATAACCTAAAACATTAAATTAAAATTAGGGTTAGGTATGATTTTATAGGATATATCCTCTTGATTCTTCACTAAAATTCACATTTGATTTTTAGTTGTGAAATAAATTATGAATATCATCATCTATTAAACCTGTAGATTTATGTTCTTTTTTGTAATATTCATAAATTTATTAAAAAGTAGAATTAAGTTAATTAATCATTTCAAAATAGTTTTTCGAACTCCAATTTCTTTTTTTATGATCAATTGATGTTTCTATATCTCCGAATAGATCCCTAACAAAAGGCGAAATAAATAATTTAGGGTGTGTAATACTAATTTTTATACAATTCTTCCATTTTTTAGTTTATTTAAGATGAATTTAAATTTGAGATCCTAATGGTACTGCTTATGATAAAATTTTATCATCTCCATGTATAATTGATAGTAAAATTTTACAAAACTCAACTAGATTAATAATTATAGAAATTAATTTAGCTTTATCTGTTTTAATAACCTCATTAAATTCAGCTGAAACTACATACTTATTAATCAGTTTTTTGGATAATTATAAATCTTCACATAATTATTCCATAAAAATAGTAGGTTAGATTTAATTAATTTCAAATTTGAGTTATGTATGAGATATTTTAAAGAGATTTAAAACATCAAAATTTAAATTAAACATAATATAACCATATTAAATTTAATTCATTATGCTAGATGTAAGCGAATTTATAAATTATGATTGTTTTCCATTAAACCATTAAGGAATCAAAGATTTTAAATATTTTAATAATTAAATTTATTTTGTTAAAATTGTAAGTGATATTCTTGCATTAGTGCAAGATGTATAATCTCTTTATTAAACTTAATACAATAATTAATCGTATTTATCCTCTTTAATTTCTTCAAATAATAGTATAATTGAAGGTTCAAAAGTTTTAAAAAAAACCTATGTAATTTTAAATTTTTATTATTTAATTTTACTATCCTTTTTATCCATAAATGCATGATATCTTTCAACAGTCTAATCATCTTTATTTGTTTAAAGTTATCGAATTAGTGTATGTTCAAGTTTAATAAATTATAAATTCTATCTTTCAAATTCATATGGTAATACTTTTAAATTTCTTAAGAATTCTCTAAAACATTTATCATCCATAATGTTAAATTTATTTTACATATTTTTATTGATTTTGTCTAAACTTAATTACCCTTGCATTTTATCATATTTCACAATAACAACCCAAGAAGGAAGCAAATCTTATATTAAATTTTCATATTAAGATTAGGATTGACTGGCAATAAAATATTTTCGATTTATTAATTCAAGTTAATATCTAAACATAACCAATAGAAAAGTTAATAGATTATGAGCCACTAATTAGTAAACATCTTCTTCTTCCATAAAAATAAATGAGCAACATTGACACATCACCTATACACCTGATTGTACAATAAACTTATTGCCTCTAGCATAAATTACTAAAATAAAATAACAAATATTTACTTAATTTCATAGAAGCAAGGCTATAACCTAAATACCAGAGATTTGTTTTCAGTGCAAATATTCGATAAAACTCACAAATCACAGATAATAGTATTTGATTCATTGTCATTATTATCTCAACTTTTTCTTTATACTTTCTAATGAAGAATAGAAGAGTAAGTTCTAGACACAAACTTATACATGAAATAATTAAAGGGAGCAATGTATTTGTGCTATTAAATTTAATGATCATCACAATTAAATATCCTCCTATAAAACTAAAAAATATTTGAAAGCGATGATGGTTATTATTAAATGACCATTCACGATAAGCATATTCCATTTCTAAAGAATTAAAGTTAAACTCAAATTTTTTATCATTTATAAATTAAATAAATAAAACAATATATAAGAAATTTCGCATTATTCCACTCTTTAAAGTAAAGGCTTTCATAGATTTTTAATTGTATGAAAATCAATATTAGTATTTTTAGAATAATATTTTAATAAGAGTGTTTCAAAATAAAACCATATTGATACTTTTAATAGTATCAATAGAATACATTGAGATTCCTTATAAAAGTCAATATAATTAGTTCATAAATTAATCCATTATTCTTTTCTAAGTAATAATAAATGTTATATTATATTATACTATGTATATCAATTTATATAAAACTTAAAAAAGTATATTTGTACCTAATACTTGAAAAAATTCCTTCATTCTTTATTTTTGATAAAAACCGCATGAAAATTCTTCAATTCTCTAATATAACAATTTAATAGTAAATAAATTAATAAGGAATTCATAAGTAAACATTTTAAATATTAAATGATGCTTGCAAAAATATGAGGTAATTTATTGAATTATTTTATGAATAAAAAGATAATAAAGTATTTAAAAGGTTTTTTTTTTATAGTTATGGAGTTTTTTTTAATTTATGAAAAATAATACAAGAATATAGATTTATTAATATAAAAGTTTATTTATTTTATTTACTAATAAAGTAAAATTAACATAGTTTAAAATCAAAAGGTTAAACTTTTCATCGTTTGGATATTTACTCTACATAATTTCTATTTTGGTTCTTCAAACTCCCTAATAATTGAGAAGCTATATCTGATTATTTATTTTAGACTGAAATAGGTGTTTATAATTAAGTAGTTTTCAAATACAATTAAGATTTAGTTTGATAATTACTCTCTAGTTTTAGATGGTTACGCTTCGGAGATGACAATCTTTTACTGCTTAGTTAATGTATTTGACAATTTGATGGTTAAGTTTGTTCATTCCTAAACAAAAGATAATTTTATACATAATTTATATCCATTTCACATTTTTTTGCTCTTAAAAACCCATGCTTTCATAATTATTTATTTTAACTGTCTTTTAATGTGCATCCTTAAATCCTTATCCATTAAGTTAAAGTGGAATTTTATTAGGTGTTTTTATGTCTTCCATTCTTAATTGATTCTCTAGTCGAGCCAAGTCATAAGGCTTGTTGTCTTTGCTGATTTTAAATTCAGGAACAAAAATTTCTTCTTTTCTTCCAATCTATTGACTTGTTCCTTTAGTAACCTTTTCAGATTATCTTCTAATTTCTATTTAATTGTCTTTAAACAATTGTCTAGCCTTATAATCACTTGCTCTTAAATATTAAGAAGCCAACTCTTTTTGATCAGACTTTGCTGTTGATCTCTATCGAACTTTTTCCATGATTCTTTAAGCAATATCAGAGGCTTCCTTATCTAAATTAATTTCCTCCTACTTTGATTAGTACTAAAAACGTTCATTAATTTTCATTTGTGATTATAATAATAAACTAATATTGTAAAAGTTTATTCCTATTCTTTTATATAAATGACTCTTCTTATAATTTTCATTGATATCTTTATCATGNTATCAATTTATATAAAACTTAAAAAAGTATATTTGTACCTAATACTTGAAAAAATTCCTTCATTCTTTATTTTTGATAAAAACCGCATGAAAATTCTTCAATTCTCTAATATAACAATTTAATAGTAAATAAATTAATAAGGAATTCATAAGTAAACATTTTAAATATTAAATGATGCTTGCAAAAATATGAGGTAATTTATT